CCCCCTTCAAGCACAAGCCATCAGAAACATGCCCCCCCGTTGTGGCAAATTTTTTCGATTCTTCATAAGATTGAAATGAAAAAATTAGAATAAGAAAAAGAAGCCGATTTAACGATTTGGTAAATAATTAAATCATTATGCAATATTCTTTGAACACTTCGTGACTTATTAAGTTGTTGCCATCTCAGCATTCCGACATTAACCCTTTGGGAACCTTACGATAGTTTCAAGAGCTAGTGAAATCTTTTTCTTTTCGTGAGAGAATGGAAAAAAAATATGGTGCGACGTCACAACGTGAGCAACCCCCTCCCCGTTTAGTCACAAACTACAGACCCCTCTCTCCCCCCAATCGGGGGATGTAGTATTTGAGTGCCCCCATTAGCGTTTGAGATATTGAAAAAAAATTACTTGATCCATTTTGGATCAATCTCCCCAATTTCACCACTCCACTGCTGCTTCCAAATGACACATAAAATAGTCAATATTCAATATTAAACTTCACTTATTTAAGAGGAATATGCAAGGTGGCGCATGAAAATAACAATCTGCGCGCCATTCTGCTGCCATTAATTAATAGTCTATAGAGAAAATCACCAGGGGCTTAATGCCAACGAGAAACTTTTACCTACATAACGGGTCCTATAACTCAGTTATATTCGTACATCGAATATAAACTAATTGACTAGACCTATACCGAAGAACTCCTGGAACTAAATATCAAACTAAGTATCAAATATAAGGCAATTTCACTTCAAATCACCAGTCGAAAAAAATCCATGTCTCCAATTATGTTTTATGTTATGTTGTCTTTATGTTATGATTTTTTTTTCTGGATTCTATATCATTAGATCACGTTTCAGTGAAAAATTCAGCCCAAATTAAAATTAAGAGTGAAAAAAACACAACAATTAAAAAAAAACCATAACTTGTACAAAAAATTATCTTGGACTGAAATTACAAAAATAATAATTACGGAGACATCGATTTTTTTCTGCTGCTGATTTAACGTGGAATCGCTCATAAACAATCTTCTTCTGTACTGGAGTGATAAAAGTGCTTGCAACGAAGTGGAATTTGTCAATTACTAAACAACTTCGAAATGAGTGGCTTCAGAACGAAACGTCAAGAGACATTGGTTGAGTCTAAGAAAATTTCCAACGAAAAATTTTATCCAAAATTTTGTTCTAAAATAACTCATGTCAAGAAACATTTTAAGCGATTTTGTTCTGGCTACAAAAAAAACTTGTCATTTTTTTCTGAAATCACTCATATGAAGATAATTCCATAATTACACAGATGTGTTTAGTTGATCTGAGACGTTCTCACTGTTTCTCCTCTCAATTAAACTTTTCACAGTACTAAAGAATAAACAGAAACATGGGATTTTATGGCTGTAACGCCTTATTCACCTTGCTCACTATTTTCTGTAGTCTATTTCCTTTTTTCAATTCATTTTGAATCTGTCGTTAAGAAAAAACATGTTTTGCATTGTTGTTAAGAGTATTTTGTATAATTCACTGAGCAATTGAATTTACGGTTTAAAATCCTAGGAAATTCGTTTGTTTTGTAATAAATATCCTAATCAAACCTGATAGCCTTATTAATCTTTGTATCTGGCAGCTTGCAGACATTTGAATGGATGAGAAGAAAAATGGTTCCATCAATGGTAAAATTATTCAATCTTTGGAAACTATTCAATCAACTATTTGACGTGGCAAAGTTCAAGGTTCAGAAGTTGAAAAAAAAATCAATCAAAAATTCACCTCTTTACAAAATCATCTCTTTAACTGTGTATCACAAAAGTTACTCAGCTATTGACATGAACGGTTTAGTTGAAAAGTGGAAAAAGCATTGGTAAGACCACTCGAAATTACCCCCTCGAGATATTCTCGCACTCTCCCACAATTTGTCTTCTCACCCCATCCCGAAAAAAAAACATCTTTGGTACATCGCGAGTACTTGCACATTATATACAGTGAGCACAATCAGTAGTAAAGCTACAAGCCCCCTATCCCTACTCCCTCGCCCCCTCCCCCATATCACAATCCCCCTCCTCCCTCTCGCCCTCCTTCTCGATCATCCCCTGGAGCTCCTTGCACAGCACCTCCTCGCTCTCAACAACATCCTCGAACCCCTCGACCCCATCCTCCCTGAGCCCCTCGATCTCCTCACAACTCTTGAACATCTCTCCATGCCCCCCCTCCCCCTCTTTGCCCCTGACCAATTCCCCTAACTCTGGATTACTACTGGAATTCAATATATCAGTATTGACTTCATCATCAGTGGTGTCAGTGCTCTGGGAGACCTTCTTGAGCACTGAATCGACTAAATTAGTTGCGAAACTCTTGCTCTCAGCTCCCTCGTGAATGGTCTGGTGAATGGACAAGGACTGAGGCCTGTGGATAGTCCTGCCGTAGGGAAAAGTGTTCTCCTCCCCCGCGGGGGTGTGCACAGCCGAGATTTCGGTCTGAGTTGCCACCACCTGGTCCACCCCAGCTCTGGGCTGCATGTGGGACATGCACCTCTTGATCTCGCTCATCGAGTCCTGCAGCTGCTGCACTTGAGTGTGAAGCAAGTTGCAGGTCTGCGCTAGGTTTGTTACGACGTCCGCATTGGAGTCCTCGTCTCTACCGGGTTGAAGGCTCACTACTTTCTTCCAGAGAGCGTTGATCGCCTGGGAAACGGGAAAAGTTAATCTTCGATTTCCAAGGGATGGATAATTTTTCATCACTTGTGTGCAAAGCGATGAAAATTTTTCACATATAGTGATGAAAATAGGGTTTCGACACTCGTGCGAAATCTGTTCTTTAAACCTTGGAAGGGCAGCGCTACACTTTTCCGAGGGGTAAAAAATACACTTTTACGTACTTGTATCGAAATATACTTTATGTCACGGCGACCGATAAACCGCGTTTCTAACCTCGCTCCGCTCGATTCAAACGCGGTTTACGGTCGCAAGACATAATAGTATATTTCGTAACGAGTGCAAAAAAGTGTTTTTTGGCGAGTGATATAATCCCACGAGCTAAAAAACATTTTTTTACGAGTTAGGAACAATATTTTTCATCACAATATGGCGGAAATTGGACTTTTAGGCACGCGGAGCGTGCCGAAAAGTTCACTTTTCGTCACAGTGTGATGAAAAATATTATAGACCACTCGGGCACAAACTTCGTTTTCAACTAATGTGAAGGTTACAGGCCGAGCCGAAGGCGAGGTCTGTATTCACATTCGTTGAAAACGAACTTAGTGCCCTAGTGCTCTAATGTACTAATATTGATTGATGGGAGATGCACATATTATGTCACTCGTTTTTTGGAATTTTTAGACCCGCTCTCCTCAGTCTCAAGTTATGACAAATATGGACTCCTTATATATTACACTCAGAAAAACCTAAACGTAAATTACGTTTTGCTGAGCGTAATTTATAGTTTGCTAAACGTAATTTACACTTAACACGAATATGTCTGGTGGTTTTTTCCATCATGAAATTGGGAATTTAGGCTTTAAAAAGTTGTATTTTAGGGTCAAAATAACAACGGAAATTAGCCCCAAAATACGTCTCTTAAGTTTCATTAAGCGTATTTCATGTTTCAGAATATCCCATTATTTTACGTTTGAAATAACTTTTTCATCACGCTGTGCGAAAAAGTAAATTTAATGAAACGTCCCTTTTCCACACATTGTGTTCGATACTCGTGGGAAAAGTGTTTTTTGGCTCGTGGGAGGTTTATAGCACGAGCCGAAGGCGAGTAAAAATGAAAAATGAAGAAAAAACTCTTTTCCGCACTCGCAATGAAATATACTATTTTTTTCTTCGTCGTTAGTTACGGAGAAGTAAATGCGGAATGGGGAAAATCATCGTAATTTACGAATGAGAAACTGTAAATTACATTAACGTAATCATAATTTACGACGAATTTAAGCGTAATTTATGCTTTAACGTCAAGCACTAAATACGCTTCAGAAAGCATAATAGTGTATTTCGTTACGAGTGCGGAAAAAAGTTTTTTGACTCGTGGGAGGTTTATAGTACGAGCCGAAGGCGAGTGATATAATCCCACGAGCCAAAAAACACTTTTCCCACGAGTATCGAATGATATTTTTCATCACAATGTGTGGAAAAGGGACGTTTTAGGCACGCGTGCCTAAAAAGTTACTTTTTCACACAGCGTGAGGAAAAAGACAATTTCTTAAACGTAATTTACGTTTAGGTTTTCTGTGTATATCTCAGACAATCCGCGACCGCCCGATTGCGACCATGTCTTTAGTTTCTTCATAAACGTGCATTTGAAAAATAAGAATAAGAAAAAGAAGGCAAATGATTAGGTGAACAGTTAAATCTTTATGCGATGCTCCTTGAGCATTTTGTAAATTATTCAATTGTTGCCAACACGGAGAACAAAACTATAGAAAAATTGCCAAACGAGCGGAAAGTATTTACATTTCCCCCGCTCGTCAGAAAATAAAATACAAACGTTCTTTTGCAGGCGTGTCAAAAAATAGCATGCGCACTTTTGGCAAGGAGAACATGACTTTTCGTGCTTGGTGCACCATATACTATAGACTCCTCACCTGCATCTGGAGTAACTGCAGCTTGTGTTCGCTCTCCAAAGCCGTTCTCGTCGCCTCCATGTCACTCGAGAGTTTCTGTATGTACTTGTTTGTCCTCATCATCTCTATCGTCTTCAGCACATTCGTGGCTTTTTTATTTAGATTTCTCGTGTGGTACCCCCTCCAGATCCTCTGGATCAACAGGGCCGCCTTCTCCGTCTGGTCTTCCGACTTATTCGTGTCCTCCTGACGTCGTTGGATCGCCCGATGACGAATTCCGTCCAGTTTCGCCTGACAGAATTCACTGTCTTCGTCGCTCGATGGAATATTCTCGTCCTCCTTCGGTTTTTTTGAACCATTCGCCTGTTGCTTTATCGTTTTGTCATTCTGGGGCTTGGGTTTCGCTCGGGGAAGGTTCGGGGAGTTCTTCAGGGATCTCCTCGGTGTCATCGTCTTCGATTGCACGTAGTTGTTGATTTTTACTGATTGAGGACACTTCCCGTTGGCGGGGGGATGAATGGGCTTTGCTATGTTGGACTTCGGGGGATTGGAGGGGGTCGATTTGTGGATGAGGGTGGAGAATTTTGAGGGAGTGGTGGTGTTAATTATGGGGTGGGACTTGGAGGGATCAGAGGGCTTGGCAGGGATCGTTGTCTGAATGGGAGAGGAGAGACGGCTTGGGGGGGTTTTTGGGAGGATTCGGGAGAGGCCAGAGGGCGGACGGAAGTCTGGACTCATCAGGGATTCGGGGACTGGGACGAGTTTTGTGGCTGCTTGGAGGGGACTCGATGTTTCTGCAAGAAGAGGAAAGATTTCGGGGGTGAGGTTGCGTTGATGAACTATTTGTAGATTCATACTTTGTTTGAACATTGAGATTCTCTTGGGGATGAATGATGGAGGAAGAAACTGGAGGTAATTTTATCGGTGGAAATTGAGATGATTTTAGGGGGAGGGAGGAAGAGTTGAAAGAGTAAATGAAAGGTGTTTGATACTGAGAAATGACGAGGTTGATGAAAAATCAAGTGCTCAAATAATTATTTACATCTGGTATGCAAAAATGGAAACAATTAATTTTTTCGTGATCTATTCGAGATAATGAAAAAAATACCAAGTTTTAATCGATGGAATCTAACGAACAATTTGAAAGAATAAAGTTAAAATCGAAAAATTTTCTGTGAAATATTAAGATATTACTATAATTTATGCATTTTTATTGTTTTGTAACCATTGGAAACCTCAGTCAAGGGATTTTTAATCCCATTTCACCATTATAACGGAGAGATCGACATTTTAAAATTGTGAGTTTCCTAACTTGCGGGTTAAGAATTTACTCTGTCGTAGCACCAGTTGACGTTGATGGAATTTTTCTCTCTTATTCTTCAATAAATCACTATTCATTGGTGCCTATAACTTTTCTTGGTAAGTAAAATAATAACTTCAATCCTATTTCACTCTTGATAGACTCTTGAGGCTGCCGAAATGATTAAAATGTGATAGCTCACTACATCTGAACGAGCATAGGTACATTTACCTCAACAGCTAACAACTCATCAATCTCATCATGAAATTGTTATGAGTCATGTTGCTATCTCGATTGATATCGAATAATGAATTTATGGTCTCGTGAAAATTTAATGAAAGGCAATGAAAGGAAAATACCAAGTTTTATTCTATGGAATCTAAGGAACAATTTGAAAGAAAAAAAGTTAAAATCGAAGTTAAAGTCTCGTAAAAATTTCCTTTATCCTTCAAGAACTAAAAGTCCTCACCTTCAACATCCTGAAGCCCTGACTCCCTGAGTTTACTGTTGAAAGTATTGCACAGCATATTAGGATCCAGACTCTGCGTCATGAGTGGCTCATGACTCTCCAATGTCCCATGACAAGAGGAGACCATCGTCTCGGTGTGGCAACTGGCGACCATCCTGTCAGGCGATCTCATCCTCATGGAATTTCTCGTGACACCTAAATGGATTGAAGCTAATTCAGCGTTGAATATTGAGGTTCAACTCGATATTAGTGAAAATGTGCATGGAAGACATCGGAATTTGTTGTAACGCAATGAAAGCGTGCAAATTAAAAATTATTAATCAATTTAAGCTTATGAAAAATGATAACAGTACTAGTCTACCCAACTCTGATACAAAATAGGAATTAACTGATTAATCCTCTACCTGTTGTATTATTTTAATTAATAATTTTAGTGTCTAGAAGCCGAAGAAAGCAGGGTTTATACTGCTACACTATTTCGGCAATAATTAATCCTCTCTTATGCGAATAATTGATAATTAATGAAATTCATAATTAATAGAACATTGAAATAAATACAAAGGAAGTATTGATTGACAACGATAAATTCAATTTTTTTTTTTCATATCGAGATGTGGTACCTTTCGAAGGTGATGGACAGGAGCAGTATTTTTTCTCGTTTAATTTTGGTGTATAGTATTTATCTTCTTGAAATGACCACAAAGGGAAAACTGGAGAAAATTTATAATTTTATACACAGAAAGAAGCCATCAATATTAGACGAAGGAGGAGACAGACCTATTAGCCCCAAAAAAGTGAATCTTTCGTCACTTTTTCAAGAATTATTTTAGAATTCTGCAGTGAAGTGACAGATAACAGGAGATAGTCCGTAATTTAACTGATTACTGTTTTAATATCTTGGAAGCTAGTAGATTCACAAGAAGGTATCTTTTTTATAGAAAATTTTAAGGACTGCAAGATAGATCTTTTGTGTAATAGGTGAATTTCAAAAAAAAAAATCAGAAAAAAAATGAAATTATTGAGAAAAAATTTCTTTTTCCATTTTTACATCGACCGCCAGCCTCAGAATTATTTTCAAAATAATTTGCAAATTGATTTTGTTCATTTATCTTGAGAATGACTTATTTGATTGCAAATTACCAGAAGACATTTTTAAAGTTGAAAAAAATCTTCAGACAATATTTTTTGACAATTTCTACTTGAGGGATTAAAATCTAATAGACATTTTTTAATGTGATGGAATTCTTGATAAAAATACTTTCTAACAATTTCATCCTGAGCGAGTCACAAAGTATTCCGCGAATATCGTAAAACCTAGTGGATTTAAAGAGAAACATATTTTGACAGACAATTTTAAGGACCATAAGATAGAACTTTTGTGTAATATGTGGATTTGCAAAAAAAAAGCAAAACAAGATAAAATTCCCTACAAAAAAATCATTTTAAATTATTGAGAAAAAATTTGTTTTTCCATTTTTACATCGCCTCAGAATTATTTTCAAAATAATTTGCAAATTGATTTTGTTCATTTATCTCGATAATGACTTATTTGGTCCCAAATTGCCAGAAGACATTTTCGAAGCTGAAGAAATTCCTCATAAAAAATATCTTTCAACAATTTCTTTTAGAGGGATTCATTCCAGATATAATTCATTCACATCCATATTCATTCCTGATCTAATTCCCCCATTAAATATCCAACTGTTTTCCACTTCACTGAAGAATTAATCCATCGAAAATAATTTTGCTTATTCCCTTTAACTTACTTGGACGTCGAGGGGAGCTCGTGCGACTACCCCCCAGCCTCCTCCTGGCAGCTGGGGAGGCACTCATACCGTGAACATTGACGGTGTCCCCTTGCTGGCTCAACTGTTGCTGATGATGCTGCGCTTTGCTGAGAATTAATCTCAACTTCCTGTCGGTTTCATTCTCGAGACATTCACCTGATAAGGGACACACCGAGGCCAGGTACTGGGCCAATTGGGAATGCTCACCCACTCGGAATTGTCTACCTCGTCCCTGGGAGTACAGCCACTCCGCCTTGAGGCTGATAATTTTTTCCGAATTGTTTGTTAGGGTAAAGGTAATTGAAATTTCCTGAATTAATTCCTTTCACGATTGATTTCAGTGGAGAAGCGATAAGGGGACAAATTTGAATCGATGATTAGTATTGATTACTAAAGGTCAAATTATCTCGTTAATGAGTAATGCCAGAACAATGCCAAAAGACTATTTTTGGAATAGGAAATTTAAGGTCTAATTAATTTAAGGTCAGCAATGAATTATTGAATTCAATTATAAATATATCATCATACAAATCCCATTCAGAAGCAAATTACTAATTTATTAGCAAAAATATATTCACTATGCTGTGACGAAAGCAATTTCCCACTTGTCCGAAATTTATTCTGTCATCACCAATAAAGACTTTACATCCAAACCAATGTGTTTGATCCTCAACATCAATAACTACATCTCCATAATGCGAATTCCAAACAAAAGTATCGCACGACTTTTTAGTAGGATTTTTTTGGCTATAAAAAAGATCTCTCATTTTCCTATGAAAACCTTCATCGTCCCCATAACTACCAAAATGACAAAGCTCTTACATTTCTCATATTATCACTTCACCACTGACTTGTTCTGGAGTTCTCGATGACTCTCCCATCGTTACTGACTACTTACCTTTCAATCGGATCAACTGGATATCCATCGATTGATTTGAGACTCATACACCAATTAATAACGAACGGTCGGTAGTCGAATCCACTACGTGCTAGTTGTTAAGAATTAAACTATTCTATTATTTCTGTTGTTTTTGTTTTTATCTAATCGTGGTGGCTAGAGTGGTATTGATCGTGATCAATGATTCAGTGTTCTGAGTACTAGTCAGCAGTATTGCCTGGCCTAGTGGACTACAGCACTGCTCTAATAATGATTTATCAGGATTTTTGTTGGAACTTTCGTTGAAAAAAAAGGATACATACTGTTGCCAGTGGCACTGACGCAGGGGTTGTTGGCTATCGAGAAGTTTATGAGGTTTGTGAGACTTCCGAGGTGGGACATCTCGTTGAGATCTGTTATGTTGTTGTTTGCGAGGGTCAGAGTCTCCAAGGATGTTGGGAGGTACCTCTCGCATTGGCGCAGGGTTATTATGCGATTGTTGTGCAGAAATAATTCCTGAAACATTTTCAAGTGGTAGGAGGGGTTGAATGCGTTTGTCGAGTCCGGCTGTTGAATCATCAGGGAAATAAATGGCTTGTGAAATAAATTTCTTTTGTGGAGAATTTTGTAATTAACAAAGAGAGAAATTTTGGAATTGTTAGCCAGTCACTCCTGTACTCAGAGGAATGACAAAATTGAATGAAATAAAATTCTTTGTTTGAAAATATACTCTTCGTTTTTCTATTCAAATGATTCTTTCAAAACAAATTATTATTTAATCCATCAGAAATAAACGTTTTAGTTGTTCTGAATAGGATTATTACATGTTAATTAATTTTTAACTAATAAAGTCAGTATTTAGATCAAGAAAAGTTTTTCTCATTTTGAAAAGCCTGTTCATTCTATGTTAAATAAGATGGAAATAACAATCAAGTTCAAGTTCGAATAAAAGCTGTATTACGAATTAATTTGATAAAGTCTTTTATTGATTTAAAATAAACTATTTCTCTGTGTACATTTGAGATAAGTGATTCTCGAATCTACAGAACTCATAGCAATTATTTGTAATTATTATTATTTAGTTTGTGACATTTTCGGCTAAAGTTGGCTGTTCTTCAGTTAATTTGTTAAAAAGTCGTTTTGTTTACTGTCAGATTATTGACATTTTTTTAGTTGAATTATTTTTAGCAGAACCCGTAAAAACTAATCGCTTAAACATAAGGTATTCTTCATTAAAAAATGTTTAGATCTTGCAATAGATTGGAATATCGAATGGTTTTGTATTAGTATTTATTTTAGAAGAAAAATAAAGGCCGGGATGAAGAATACTTTAGGGTTTCGAATCGTTGACAATTAGTGAAAGAATTTGTTTGTCTATCCCCTCTTTTCCCTTTTTTCGTTATTTAAAACATAAAGAACATTTCGATTTTTGAAAGTCACATTCTAAGTTAAATAGCTAATTGCATTGGGTAATTATTGAATTATAATGAGTGGTGTTAAGAAGGAATCCCAGAGGACCATTGTTCGTAGAAAATTCCATGATTTTTCCATAAAAAGTATTTTTACATTTTTTTGTAGAATTATGCATTTAGTGCATAATCACGTAATTAACTAGGATCTTATTTTCGAATTGAATGACTTTATTTCGATTGTTCGTCATTGAGTTATCTCGGTAATAAAAAAATGAGACATTATTAGGACACAATTTTGTGGGAAACTAGGCACTTAATGAAGCTCTTCTGCCGTTCTACCTCAAAATCTATGATTTTCTTTATAATAATTGGAATTATTTCCATTTATTATCTGTAAAATGTCGAATTATTCTTATAATGAGTGATATTTCCTCATCAAACCCCTCGTTCTGAGATAATCACGTAATTAACACAGATTGTATACCTAGCCTGACCCATTTTACTGCTTCACTACTGAATATCGATAGCTCAATCGTAGAAAAATATAAATGGATGTGGATTTTTTATATTCATAAGCTTGTCTGTTATCAAAGTTTTCTATGAAAAAACGATTAGTATTTGAAGTAAAAAATAAAGGGAAAAATACCTTCAAGTTTCTCAGGTAAGAAATATCAGATACGTGACTTATGCTGTTCTCAGACAGGTCCAGATGCTCTAGCTTCGTGTTGGTGTGAAGATGTTCGATGGACTAAAAGAAAAATAACGTTTGAGAAACTCAATTCATCCCCAAAGAAATATTTAAGAGCCACAATTCATCGCTGAAGGGAAATGAGTCGGCAAAATAATTACCTTGACATTATTCCCTGCCAAACACAGAGTAGTTAAATTCGGCATATCCTTAATGCCTTCTATCGTCAATATCCCATTGTTCGCCAGGTTCAAGGTCACCAAATTGTGCAACTTGGAGACTCCATACATTCGCAGTAATTGATTTCTCACTATTGACAACTGCAATGAAACGTCAATGTTTATTGATTCATTTCATCAATTCTCTTTAGACAAATCTGAGTGAAATTTAAGAACAAATTTGGAACAGAAGTAAAAATGAAAAATTCAATACGCCCAATTGTTCTGAAACTATCCATTTAATAGTTAATGGACATCGACTTTTTGTGGTATTTGAAATTTCCCGTGAAATCGCCTTCATTCTCTAATTATCTCAGTACTAATAGCAAATTATCTGGAGACTTTGCAGGAGAATTTCCTCCACAAAACAAGTCTCTCAATATTTCCTTGCGAATCTCTCCCTTTCGTAGATATTTTTGAAATGTCCCTCACACTTATTCTCTCCTCAAACTATTCTCTGCTTAAATTCTCAAATTTTCAAATTGTCTAGACAATGAGTAAACCTAGCTGAAATTATCAAGAGATTTCATACGTCGTTTCTTCCTCTAAAGAACTGGTCTGTGGACAGTTTTCCTTGAACCTTTTCCTTCCCAAGATAATTCCAAAAACACTCTTGAAACTGATTTTCTCCTCATTATATTCGTTTTATCCTCTAATTATCTCAATAGTCGGAAATATTAGCAGGCAACCATCGCTTCGGTAGATTTAATCTCTAAAAATGTCTATCAATATATCTTACTGGATCTCTCCCTCCCTCGAATATTTACAGAAATGCTCGACCTCTTTCGTTGTCAATTGTCTAATTATCTTGATAATGAATGAATTTAGTTGAAATTGTCAAAAGAAATTTAGAAAGTAATCTCTTCCCCTACTAACAAAAACGTATTGTTTATTACTTAATTCATTTATTTATTGTTTATTACTTATTACTTAAGAGTTCAAAGAAATCGTTAAAATCTTATGACATTTTCTTGAAACTCATTCTTTTCTCATTTCATTCATTTGATTTTCTAATTATCTCAACGCTACACGTATGAAAAAATCGTATAGAAATTTTCTAGGATTTCCGTATATGATATTCGAATATTTCTATACGAATATTTTCCATACGAATTATTTCTATACATAAATATTTACATAAATTTTTGTATTCATACGAAAGATGTCTAAACGCTCTAGAGAAAAACGTAGAGAAATGTCGCAACTCCACACGAAATGTTTTTCTACATGTGGCAGTGGGTCGCATAGGATCAAACCTTTAGAAATCATGTAGAAATAATTTGTATAAAAAATATCCGTATAGAAATATCCGATTATCATATAGGGGTGGTTGGGGTAAAACGGACACTTTTGACTTTTTTTGAAATAATAATGAGAGGATGAAACGTGGATAAAATGTAATAATTTTTTTTTTCAATACAAAGAACAATTCTTTCCCTTTGTGACGAGCCTAAACTGAGCTCAATTGATAAACTTATTTCTGAGTTATGAATAATTTTATGAAAGTCTGAAGTATCCATTTTACCCCACCCTCTCCTACGAAAATCTTATAGAAATTCTATACGCAATTCGTATAGAAAATTTCTATACGATTTTTTCATACGTGTAGGTAAAATTACCAGGAGACCTCTTCTGTAGATTTAATCCCCAAAAATGTCAATCAATATATCGCAGTGGATCTCTCCCTTCCTCGAATATTTGCAAAAATGTTCGTCACACTCATCCCCTTTCCTCTTCAATTTTCTAATTATGTCACTTACGAATAAATTGTCAAAAGGAATTCAAAGACGAAGTCTGAAATTGTCAAAAGAACTTCAACCTCATTCATTTCTCATTCTCTCTCAATTCTCTAATCATCCCCCAGATGAAGAACACAAAAAAATTTAAACCCATTTCCAATACAATTTAATTGGCTTCAAAATAAAATTTGAAATTTTCCTCTACGTCCATCTATTTTTCAGATATCTCCAAAGCATTCGCGGATCATTGAAAAATGATTTACTCCATGCGTACCTCAATGTTTTCCCCTCATTGTTCACGAAAATTCTTGGGCTTTAATTACGTACGTGATGTGCCAAGCAACCAGCGAATTAGCCTAAATAATTCTTCTTCTTCTTCTTATTCCTTAATGGCTAGACTTCCATAGCCTAAATAATATTCTAAAAATAATGCTCTACCTTAGTGATTCTGTGATAACTGTCGAGATTGTCAAGACGCTGCAGTTCATTATCATCAACAATCAGAGTGTTGATATCCGCATCTGAGGGACACCGACTCAATTTCTTCAGTCCCTGGCCACTGAGGTCCAGTGTATCGCACACTGGACTCTCCGGTTCCTCGCAAGAATTCATCTTTCAGCTTTTTGAATAAGAAAAAAAGGGGTGCACTTGAACTGTCAAACGCGGGGCCCACGAGGGGAGAAAATAAAACGATTTTCAATGGTTTTTTGCACTTATCAGAAGTTTGGTGCCTGCAGTATTAGTTTTGAGGAGTTGGTGGAGGTTTCTCGCGGATTTTTAGTCGTTTATTGGTCACTGCTGGCTTGGAAGAATTAATATTTGGGTTATTTCAATTGATCACTAACCCCCGGACGCCATGATGAATACAAAGGCGCTGCGGGGCGACAGTTCAGGAGAGGCTGTCGGTGAGAGGGGAACTACGTTATCAACCATGGGTCATAAATTTGACGGATAAGGGATGAAAATGAGAAGTAAAGTTTTGAAGAACATTGGTGAAGGAGATTTAAACAATTAAGCGGTAGAAGCTGTAAAACGAGTCTATGGCCTACTCACGTATAAAAAAATTGCATAAAATTACATAGGGGTGGGTGGGGTAAAATGGACACTTTTTACTTTTTTAAAAATATTCAGAAGTCAAAAAGAGATTTATCAATTGAGCTCAGTCAAAGCTCATTCCAAAGGGGAAGAATTGTCGTTTCAATTGAAGAATAAAATTATTCCATTTCATGAACAATTCAGCACGTCATGAACATTAAAAAAAATCAAAACTGTCCATTTTACCCCACCCTCCTCTATATGAAATAATTTTATGGATTATTTTTCCCAATCGGATGGCGACCAATCAGAGATCAGTATTTGAGGCTGTCCGACAGTTTCATTTCAAATATTCCCTCATGCACTAAGAGAAAAATCGACATAAATTCACAAAAATTATTTTAGTAGATAAATGGTAAAACGGTACAAGTCAATTTTGACTATTGACCAGTTTTCAATGAATATCTCGGAATCTAAGGGAGATAGCAATTTTTTTGTTATAACGTTTTTTGTAGAGCCGATTGAGAGCTACAAATAATGTAATTTTGAAAATTTCGCTATCTCTCGTAGATTCGGGAATATTTGTCAATAACTCAACTGGTAGATAAGTCGACTTCGTTTTACCAGTTCGCTACTGATTTCTTGAGCGAAAAACATTGCATAAATATTTGATCAATTTATGGTACGTTGCAGACAAGAAATCGGTGCTCTTCGGGCTAAGAAGAAAGTTACTGAATGAAAAGATGATGTCTTTTTTCGAAATGAGATAATATTTGTTCAAAGACAAGAATAGTTTGACAGAAGGAAAAGAAGATGCTGCTTCCCTTCGAACTCAACGCCATTGAGCGTAAGCGACGGTTATATTTTTTTCATCACGCTATGACAAAAAGTGAACTTTTCGGCACGCTCCGCGTGCCTAAAAGTTCAATTTCCGCCACATTGTGATGAAAAATATTGTTCGTAACTCGTGAAAAAATGTTTTTTAGCTCGTGGGATTATATCACGAGCCGAAGGCGAGCCAAAAAACACTTTTTTGCACTCGTTACGAAATATACTATTTCATCACGCTGTGCGAAAAAGTAACTTTTTAGGCACGCTTCGCGTGCCTAAAACGTCCCTTTTCCGCACATTGTGATGAAAAATATCGTTCGATACTCGTGGGAAAAGTGTTGTTTGTCTCGTGGGATTATATTACTCGCCTTCGGCTCGTGCTATAAACCTCCCACGAGCCAAAAAACTCTTTTCCGCACTCGTAACGAAATATACTAATTTTCACTGCTGCTACGTTCAGCTCGTGTCGAAAAGTGCCTTTTCGTTTACTAGTAAACGAAAAATGGCACAGTCCGGCACTCGTTGAACGTAACATCACTAACAAAAAATATAGTTCGGATACACGTGCGACGGGGTGTTTTAACTCGTCGCACTTGTATCGAAATATACTATTTTAATATCTAGAGGTTTTCCTCTGCATATACAGAGAGTATATTCATTCAATAAGAAACTCTCTGATTCATGATTCTCCAAATCGAAGCTTTTAATGTTATTTGTCATTTTCTCATCTTCTGACACGAAAAAACCGATTTCTTGTGGTAAGAAATTCTCACTGTACCATGTTCATGTTTAAATCATGAACACTTCACCGAAATCTGACATTCTCTGACACATAGTCCGAAATTCTTATCCCAAGAAATTTATCCTCAAGAGATGAGACATTTGGCGAAAGAGATTAGTTTTGTGATATTATGACGAAATATAACTATTCTTCCGTCGGTTAATTCGTTTCATTCCACTCATTTTTAAATAAAACGCGAATAAATGTTCAAAACTACTTTTAGGTTTCTTTAAATAATTTTAATGCTGAAAAAAGCTACAAAAAATTATGCCAATAAAAACATACGGAATAAAACTTTACAAGCGTTGAATTCAATTTCTGGAGTATGAACAATAACTCTTGCCATCCTCCATCATAAAATTCCGGATCAATTTTGTCAGTCCAGAACACATTACCTGACAATCAGTAGTTTTTTTAACCAAGTAGGTAGTGAAAAATCACCGTCCGCTTTGCATTTCTTCCGTCGAAATAAAGTCGAAAAAAGCCGGAACGAAATTTCGCTCCACGATTACTTGACTTTGTCAGTAATTTTCCAACTTTTTTCTCTTTATTTTACCCCTCTAAGTCAGAAATATAACCACTCCTCCGACAATTAATTCGCTTCATTCACTCATTTCTAAATAAAACGTGGATAAATGTCCAAAACTACTTTTATGGTTCTATAAACAAATTTAGTGCTGAAACAAGCTGGAAAAAAATTATAGCGATAAAAACATACGGAATAAAACTTTGCCGACGTTAAATTCAATTTCTGTAGTATGAACACTAACCCTTGCATTCTCCATCATAAAATTCCGGATTAATTTTGCAACTCCAGAATAAATGACCTGACAATCAGTAGTTTTTTAAACAAGTAGCGAAAATTCACCGTCCGCCTTGCATTTCTTCCTTTGAAATAGAGTAAAAAGAGTCGGAACGAAATATCGCGCCACAATTACTCAACTTTTTCGCTAATTTTCCCCTAATTTCTCTCTCTTTATTTTACCCCTCTAAATCAGAAATATAACTATTCTTCCATCGTTTAGCTCGCTTCATTCACTCATTTCTAAATAAAACGTGGGGAAATGTCCAAAAGTACTTCTATGATTCTATAAACAAATTTAATGCTGAAACAAGCTGGAAAAAAATTATAGCGATAAAAACATACGGAATAAAACTTTGCTGACGTTGAATTCAATTTCTGGAGTAAGAACAGTAACCCCTACCATTCTCCGGTATTGATCTCGGAGTATTGATCACATCTGGGATGGAAGGAGAAGAAGGAGGAGAAGATGCGGGTGAGGACGAATGGAGAACGTATCTCCATTTTCTTTTACTTTGTCGAATTCTTAAGAATTATTATTCTGTTTTCTTCAGTTTTGATTATGAATAATTGAATCACTTCTCATTATTTCCATATTCTGATTGGTTTTACAGGAGTTATCGGCGCTCAATTTCTCCAATAAATCAAATACAGTCGAACGATTATCGCTGAATTTGCAGAAAAAAAATGGAAAAAGTGAATGGAAATTTTTCTTTTCAACCTATGATTCAAATTTTAAATCACAAAGGGATAGAGACAGAGTCGAGTGACGTAACGGTTGGTCCGAGCACCCGAAACGGTACAGGGTGGCTGGACGAGTGGAATGGTGTCGGTATATAAGGCAACGAGCAGCCCGGGTCTGCGTCTGACAGCCCATTACCACTGTACAAACGGGTGAGCCAAGGATAGAGAGAAAAAGAATATAATATTTTTCCGTCGGAAAATAAAAAACTCATTGTTCACTGAAACAAAAATGTTCCGCGAAACTCCATATATCAATCAAATTTAATTGCATTTGAGCTTTTTCATCCGAATATTTGTTGGCAAATTCGAAAATTGTGAAATAGAACGAATAAGGAGAATGGATGCGATTAATGGATTGATGAGATTCATTCATTATGATTGTTGTACTATTTAGTTGTGGACGGGTGGAATAGGAGGAGGCTTTTCAATTTTGAGAATTTTTTTTTTGGAATATCGTAAACTGAGAAAAAAAATTACTTCTGCCGAGTAAATTTATTTGCCACAAATGAATGTATATGAATATTTGCATTTGTGTTTTTTTTCAGTGTGTGGATTTTTTCGTAATTAGTAAATTTACTTGGCAAAAGTAATTTTTTTTCTCAGTGTAGAATTAAAAGGAGAATTTTGGGAACTTCTCAGAAAAATAAAAAATTAATTCATTCTCTTCAAAATTTAACTCACCAGAAAAAAACCACTAATTAAATCACTAATTTGAATCACTAATTAAGTTATTGGTTAATTGTATTTTTTATTGTTTCATTTATTTTTGAAAATAATGAAAGTAACAATGAACAATCAAAGGAACATATAGTTTGATGCCACATTTCTGTCATGACTTATTACAGCTAGAGTTTTATTTTATACTAAACAGTTGCTTCATGTCGCAAGATAGGTGGACTGCTGCATGAAGTATCTAGAACAGAGTCCATTCAGTAGTTAATCTTTGCAGTAGATTCTAGATTATACAAATCGTTTTTTCTATTTTTTTCGAAAAAGAATAATTAAAAATTTTTTTTAAACAAAATATATTAAAAAGATTGGTCTAATCTAGGATCTGAAGAAAAAATTATTCTTGTTCAGGGGTTGAAACGTATCCCTGGGGAAATAGATTGCTGGCAAAAAGGTAACGCCAATTTTTTTATGTAGGATTTAATCATTCCAATATTTTTTTGTAGTCACTGTTTTTCTGCTATTACAAGTTATATTCAAAGGTGATCCGTGGATCTGAAAAAATTCTAATAATGAGCACTGCATACTGTCACCTCTGCATTCCACATCAACATAATTATTTTTTAATTTTAATAAAAAGGCAAAAATTCTGAAATTCACTAGGGTTGAAAAAAACGTGAGTAATTGAACAGAAAACGAGTGTATCACTTGATATTATGAACTCACTACAGATTCAACATCTTCCTCATAGCCATTGTGACTTGAAGAGTTTCCGACGACATTTCCAAAAATAAAGTGGATGTATCCTGTCGTTTGCAGAATCCCAAAAAAATTACTCTTGAGAAACAATATGGTCTATTCGCAAATAAAATCAACAACACCTCGAAAAATAATGCAATTACCACTTATACCTCCAAATACAATACCCATTTTCTTCTCTTCCTGCACTGAGAGAAAAATATGATTCTTCT